CTGCACTATATGAAGCTCTGGTAGTGTTTATCTTTGAGTCTTTAATCATTATACCTTTGAAAAGTTGTAGAGCATCGATCATCATCTCATTTGAACCCGCCCTATACAACATAGAAAATGAATTGCTCTACAGTGAAATGATCAGTGACGAAGCAAAGTTTTCCATAGTTCAGCTACAGCATGTAGATAGTAGACTGATTTCAAATGTTCGTTATGTTACAACACTTCATACTTGAAGACGTAAATCTTCACAGTTCCGCCACTTTCCATATGAAGTGATCAACGTTTCTTCTTCTTTTGCTTACATGTGCCCATCAATTCTCATGTATCATTTCTATTTTTAGAAATAATTTGTGTTCGAAATCGTCTCATTATTTTCATGCTCCTTTTTCGTGTAGTCAACATGATCTTTTTAGCTTTATTATTTCATTGCATTTTGTCCTATCGCGGCACCATATCAAGTTCGTATTTGTATCTCTGTAGGATTCATCTTTCTATATTATTCTGCTTTATACTGGGAGAAATTTGAACCGTTCTATTTATTGGTGAATTTTCAGTGTTGAATCAAATTCCTACCGCCCTGACATGATATTATCACTTCTGAATTCTGACCATTAAAAGCATTTTTGCTCTATAAAATTATTCATATCCATATTTTTTCGTCTTTCTCTGTATCATGTGTAAATGAAAATTAGCGTTGCGTACAAATGCTTTCCCACAGTTTTTTGTAACACTTCTTTTTTTTTTCTAATACTATATGTCAACTTTTATGGATGCTTGGTAACGTTGGAAAAGACGAATCTGTTACGAACTTCATCAACTGAAAGGTCATCACTAAGTTTATATCGAGGAACTGAAAAGCAAGTAATGCAATAAAATGAAGCGAACTCAGTGGCAAAGTGAGAAGTAATAACTGGAGGATCCGTAGAACTCATAAACAAGGCAGATGAACTAAACGGATGGTAATCATTCGCATTCTTTTCGATGCTGTCATGGATTGTTCATAGCTTATTACCTCTAATTATGAATGCACATTGCATCTATAACACTGCCATGACTCTAGGAAAAAGGTGAATATTCACCGCTCTGGAGAAATCGTTGTTCACCGCTTGGAAACCACATGGGCCATATAGACCCATGGGGCATTTCGCGCACCAGAGTTTTCCAAGGCGCACGTATAAGTGGAAATGCGGGAGAGATTACCTGGCAAATTAGTGTTTCAAGAAAATATTATCACTATCCTATGAATATCACTAAAGAGATTTCTGTAAAGGTTTTTATGCAATCTCTAATTGAAAGAACGCCCATCTATCAAGATATGAGCTATTTTTAATTGGGAAAAGACCACATCTTCCCTGAGGATTTGTTTATTGATTAAGTTTAGAATTCTAGCAGCTATTCGATAGGCTTAAACTGCGTGATAATGTATGTTATTTTCGAAACGGTCCATTTATTGCGCTGTTATTGGTAAAAGTAAAATTATGTTTCACACTTGAGCACTTTTCGCTGGACAGAGCTTTTCTCTAAGAATCGCAACATCCATTCGATAGCTTAAGCCTCGCCAATTTTGATGATGTGATTCATTTTTAGAAGAACTTGTCATTGCGTTGTAGCAGCCGAAAGAACATTGAGTTTCGCAGACATGGATCATTTTCATTTTCCGCACCCTGATTTGAGCTCCTGGAGAAAAGCGTTTTCATTTTTCTAGAATACCAGTAGTCGTCTGGTATCTTAAGCTTTGGAAACTTCGAAAAACTACTTGACTTTTGAAATGGCCTTTTATTGTGCTGCAACAGCCAAGCTACAATCATGTGCCATACTCGAGCATTTCTCGCTGGCCAAAAGATTACACTCTAAATTTTAGTGAACATTCGCTAGCCTAAACTGTGAAAATTGCAACCAAATATTTAGTTTTTCCAAAAGACTGCTTACTGCGCTGAAGCAGTCAAGAAAATACTGGGTTTTCACTCGTCGCGCATTGTTTGCTCCGATATGCAGATGGGATCGATCGAGTGGTGCGAGTTGAAGAAGGCTTTCAAAGAAATAAAGAAGTAAAGAATAGAAGTAGAATAGATTATTATACTTTATTCTTGCGATATTCTTGCGATTTGAGCTATCGAAAGACTACGAAAGATCTCGAAAAGATCAGAATAGAGCTTCTCTCAAGGAGTCGAATAATGGTGTATAACGAAAGAGTACCGAAATGAATCACAAGCATCGGTGAAATATGGATAGGAATAAATGAGAAAGTTTAAAATTTTTCAATAAGCGTGCGAAATAGGAGAGTTTTGTTAGCATATAATGTGCTCTCCAAAAATGCAGCGCCTTGACAATAGCACTGACAGTAGTTCCAAGTTGCCGCGATGAAGCGATGTTCATATGGAGTATAGGTGGATTTATAGGAAGTTTTCTCTCAAGAGAAATAGAACAAGGTTTCCTTCGCAACTATATAGATGTATTAACTCCTAATGTGCACTAATAATAAAAAGTATTGTTGAATTATCGCTGAAATGGCATCTCATTGCAAAGTGCCCTATTAATTTTGGCAAACAGTCCATTATTTTATGACTGTTTTGCCATGGTTCAACCAAACATAGTCCTATTGAAACTTCTACTATCACATTTTCTTTTTAATGACGATTGAACCGACTTTTGTGACAGTAAAAATCCAAACCTCATTTCGCAACTATCACATTGCCACTGAGACAACCTGGGCTCACCTCTCTCCGCGCTGTCTCACCGCCTGCTGCTCACAAAATCAACGTGGAACCTAGGCATTTTATAGGTGCCTGTGTGCATACAGGTTAACCGAAAGCTGCTTACAATTGATAACTTTGGCGAGGCATGATTACAATGCACTTCAGAAACATATGATCTCGAATGATATCATATCGTCTTAGTGGGGGTGAGGGGGGGGGGGGGTGCGCAGTGGATAGTGATACGATGTGTGAGGGATTGAAGTGATAGGCGAAGCGCCGCTCGATTCTTCAATTCAACACTTTTCACAGTGAATTAGCGAACGTTTTAGAGGGAACTTTAGTCCGGCACCCCTATTCGCAACACGTATTATCTCTATCACCATTTTACGACATTCATCAAAAAGACAAAATTTTCAAGAATCAGCATAAACAGCACATGAAATATTGGACGACTTTTGTGAAGTATGAATGCGAGCAGACGAATCGACTGCAAGAAATTCTTAGATTTACAGAGTAAAATGTGATGATGGATTGTGCAAGAAACGTAATAGAAAATAATTTTTAACATTGACGAGTTATGTCTTGCGGCGGCTCGTGAAAGAAAATTCGTATGTTGCCGACAGAATCTGTTTCCAGTATAGTTCTCGAGACCTTCATTGCAACTTAGACTTCAGAGAAATGATTTGATAGAACACATTTACTTATCGAACTATACCATTTTGAAAGTTGCAAAAATTTTTCGTCATTTACCATGATTCGAATGTTCAGCGATGAGGTCGATTTTTATCGAATGCTATGATACATACAGGGTGGTAGAACACGACTAGAGCAGCTAAAAACGAACGAATAGTAATGACCTCTAGGACTAATCATCTCTTATTTGCTGCATGCTTACTTGTAGATCTTGATAGCTCTATCTGAAGATGTATTAACGGCCAGCACCTGATGCCCTTGGTTATCTTGGTGTAGTTGATATGATGCGAGCACGGTCGGCCTGCTATAATTGCAGTCCATCGAGACCTGGGCAGCAGAGCCTTTTATAATATTGCGCATCACAGAAAGGAGTTCAAATTTTATAAAAAAAAGTTAACCTACGTGAGAAGCTCATAGAAAAGCAGACTATTGATAAACAAAGTTGGAGGCTTTTGCTCAATAAGTATGAATGCTGAACTATTTGTGAAGTGGAGACGAAGTTCAACATTAAATTACGATTCATATTATAAACGATAAGAAATTAAGGGATCGTTCTTGCGTCTTCAAGCACTACGCTTTTTGTTTAGAATGTTAAAGGTTGATAGCTTGTTATTGTTTTGGAAAATCCTTGATAACAAATGCAATGGGAATCACGGGTAATACTTTCCCAATATGCCTGATAATCATTATCTGAGCCACGCATGTCAGTGGTCTATCAAAGAGGGATGACTTATGGAGCCCGATACACGTGTTTCGATCTTGCGATCTCGTCAGTCGGGCAGTTACCCTTTCTCGTCTTTTGCTAATCTCTGTGGGTGCTCCAGTTCCCACACTAAGAGTTAGCGACGACGAACGTTTTACACTCTATGTTCAGTGAAATTCTCACCGAGCACTATTCCGATTTTTTGATGTGACTATTCGAGATACTACTTTACTCAGCTACAATAAGACCGCTGAAACTTCTCAAGGTAATCGTCAAGATATTTACATTTCAAAAACAGACGTATTTTTTAACAAATAGTGTTAATGCCACTAGAGGCCTAATTAACAGGAACTATATTACTCCATGGACTGATACAGTTCCTTAAAATTTACGTTTGTTTTGAATTTTAACATATTTACACAGAAAGATTTACCAGCATACTTGAATAAGAGTTGACAGTTGAACAACAGCTCAACAGCCAGTGGCGTCAACGGCGCATTTGGTGATGTTCTGCTTGGCAAATAACTACTCAGTTAAATGCTCTCTTGCTTGATAACCGATACGAGTCATGACATGAAGCGAAAGGAATCTTGTAGAAAGAAAAACAGAAGGATTTTCCAGTGCGGTAGACTTTCCTGAACATTTGAGACAGATGACTGTAGAGTATAGTGGTTTCTACTTTAATTAACAACATTCACTATGGGTTAAGATAATTAGACTGGAATTGTAAAACTATATTGCTCTTAACTATAGATGAATTCAAGTCAATGCTTATCATTGCAAATATGCTTAAGAATATAAGGCAAGTTGTTGCAAAATTCATGTCATCTCAGTTCAAGGATTAACTAAAATATTAGTAAAAATTGAAATATGCACATAAGAAGACCGAATGGTAGGCAAAAATTCGAGCTCAGGCAGGAGTTGAACATGCGTATCGCCCTTATCCGGGATGCGTGCTACCACTGCACCACTGAGTCCACCGCTTTGCAATCACTCTTTCTTCAATGCGAACTGTCGTAGCTGTCAGCGACCAACCTTGACGGACGGGTTTAAGCTGGTAAGCACATATCGTCATAGGTCAAAGTTTTGGAACTTCATCAACTTAATTCGTCTGTTTATAAACAAATAGTATTCAAATGAACGTTGTTGCTACTCTCCTTTTCCTAAAGGACAAACACATGTTCTCCAAGAGTAAAATTTTCACAAATACAGTCTTAAAAACTTCAGAAAAAACATGAAAAAAACAGATATTTCAAAAGCTATTTGACATTGAGGTTTTGAAAATTTCTCCAAGACAGATTATCCCGAGTGGAGAGATGTTATTATGACAATATAACTGTTCTGAAGTAGAGATTCGCCTCACCGTCGTGGACGTACCTAACTAATTACTGAAATTTTGAGTAATGTGCAAATTTTTGAACTCAAACGAAACTTGATGTGTTACACTTAGCAAAGTGGTGGCGAAACAGGCAGCGGTAGTGCAATTGGTTAGCATACGTCCACGGAAATGTAAAATGCGAATTCGATGTTCAACGCCGAAGTTATGCACATTATTCAACAAAAAATGATAATTACGAAGTCCATATTAGGGGTTATTTTTGGAAATTTTAACTCGAAAATTGGACTCGGAAGAATGTCTGAAGAACGTCACACTGGACCATACGTCCGATCTTGCGAAGCGCTGCAGAGAAACGGTAAACGAAGACCTCAAAGAGAGACGAGCAGCAGATATGGAAGCTGCAGAAGGTGAGAAGAGCATTTTCAACGCCCAGAGAGGCTTCTCCAATTATAAGATTAAGATGATTGCACTCCAATACCTGACGAACCACTTACAGCTTCCAGAGGGCAATGAAGAAAATCATCCGCCACTACTACTTGGTTCACTCACGCAGTCGCTACGTAAGAAGGACGAAAGATCACTTGGCGTTACAGAATGCGCAGTAGTAAGGTCGATGCTAGGAGTATCCCGAATCTCGCAAATGAAAGAGAGGATCCGAAGTTTAGACCTACGTCAGCGATCAATGATCAAAGACGCAGTTCTACACCCCAAGATATCGAAAATAAAATGGGCCAGACACGTGATGCGCTTCAACGACAACAGATGAATGAGAGCCGTTACTGACTGTATTCCTCGGGATATCAACGCTCCACACGAAGGCCACCAATCTACTGGTCCGATTTCTTCACGAGGAGACTAGAAGAAAGATATAATACTAAACGAATCCCTAAAGCGAGGAGGACCTATTGGGCTACCCTTGCTCGCGATGGGGAAAGATAGAAGTGTTGCTGGTGTTCGCTCGAGTCACTAGAAGATCAAAGGGACTGCAGGTGATAAAAATAAGATGACGGATGCCGTTAACGTCAGATCGACAGCCCAAACATGTATTTTCAATGTTGGCGAGCAGTGATTATCCAGATAAAATGTAAATTTTGAACAAGTGATGCTTTCGAATTAGCGCTGAGCGGCATTAAGGTTGATTTGTAAAATCAACAACTGAAGCATTCATTGTTCTGTACGAAAGAATCAATTTTTAACCTTTGTTTTAGAATTAGACTTATTACCAGAAGTACAAGTTCACTACAGTTTTGCTTTAAGCAGAACATCGAGATAGAGTAAGAACGAATCAATTTTATCTCTATATTTCTCTGGTCTTTAAGACCTCACCTGAAATCTTTATATTTCCTGACAGTATATTCTAAGCCTTCCTTGCGGTTTAAACACGTGTCCTGCGCTATATACGTGCCATCATAGATCTCATTAAAGCTCAAAATATGCTCCAGAATGTATCGAAATTTTTGACGAGATCTCGAAAAAACAGGCGAAATAAAGGTGTCAAACAATTTTTCAGCCGTTTCTCTGTGCAAGTGATGTTATTCATTGAATTTTAGCTAAACAGTACAACAATACAGTTGGTAATGCGGAATGGATATTACAACAATCATAATGGCTAACGTTTGGCTGGTCGACTTCTCCAGAGTCTGGAAAGATCAATTTGATCCACATTCCACTAAGTCAAAACCTTTATATCCCCAGAAAAAAACGTTAGAAATGGATTTTAGATCGCATAGTAAACGCCATTTCAAAACACTTACCGCTTTGATGTTTTAGATCTATAAATTATTCATTGAAGACCAGTCTCTTAGCATCAGTGGGTTGTGTCTAATTCAGGGCGCAACGATGAACCTGAGGTGTGGTACAAGGTCATGCGTGATTACGAGACACTTCTCTTTCGGTTCATTTTCGAGCCTTTCTTATAATTAAAAAAAGGCTTCCAGAGGTTTACGCGAAAATATTTTTCACTTCTGTGTGAGGATCGAGAATTTGTAGCATACATTCCCCTTGCATGTTTTTGGTTCTTATGCGTGCCTGGTAGGGTTTTTGGATCAGTGTTGCGTAATCCAACTAGGTGCTCTTTTACACGGAGAAATAGTGGTCTACCCGTTTCGTCAATGTATTCATCCCCGCATGTCTCGCAAGAGATTAGGTAAATTATACCAGTTCTTATGCAGTCGCTATCTCTGCCGTTTCGACAATCTTGGCAGACATTCGTTTCGCAGAGGCGATCATACAGTCGGTTGCGAACTAACTGGCGCTATAGTGTCTTTGGGGGTATTCCAACTATTGTTACCGAATCGTCAAAACCTGCGTTTTCAAGCAGCTTTTGATAGCTGTACTTACTCCGTTAGAAATAAAAGGCAGGAGTAAAGGAACCTTATTTTAGTTGGACTTGCAGTTTAGGGGCTTAAATTTTCTCAAAATCTAACCTAAGATTCTCCTATAGTATCGTAGCAATTACAGATAGCTATTTTTCGCGTCAAACTTAAAGATTCTACTTCGAGTTCTTTTACTGTACACACGTTGATCGTTGTTCAAAACATGTTCTTCAGAAGCGCACGCTGTATATGTGACAGATGAGAGGATAGGTATTAAACCAAGATGTTTTTGATGCTTGGTTTTCAGTGTCATTTTGTGTCAAAGGAATTTTCGGACAGGTTGATCAGAACGTTAAAATGGGAACCAATCTGCTTTCGGTTTCTTACGGGTGAACTTTATGTAATGTACTCTGACTGACCACTTAACAGCTCAAAACATTTGCCCATCTCCTTGCATTCATCAGACGGCAAAGCAATCATCTATATACCTACAGTAGAGTGACAGCCGGGGATCGATTATTGGGCTCTCCACTTTAGACATAAAGGCTGAAGCATGGGTTGGTGCTAGTCGTTGTCCCATTCGATTTGTGCACAATAGTTCCACGAACATCTGAAGAGTGAACAGTTTAGGCACTTTTCAAGAAAGCCCATGACCTGTCGGATGATAAAGCCATACATATTTGTGGTTCTCTCGTGCTACGTTAGAAGCTCGTATATGGTTTGTATTGCGGACTCATACGACACACCTGTGTAAAGGGCGGTTACGTCGAAAGAATCCATTACGTACACGTTGTTGTGAGGCGCGTTACTCAGACGGTCTAGAAACGTTTGAGTATTGCTGAGATGGGCTGAAATGTGCTTTGGTAAGTAGACTAATATTAGGTTTATAAACTACGTTATCCTATACATTGGCTCACCTACACAGCTAACGATGGGTCTAACTTTGAAATCTGATGGATTAGTAGACACAAAATCATCAGTGCATACCAACTTATGAGCTTAAATAAGTATTATAAGATGGGACATGACGGTGGACTAAGTTTTAGTTGGGAGATAACAGGATGTCTTGAACCAGCCGATCTTGCTAGTTTTACCCATTCTCTGTTCAACTTTCGATATTGTTTTTGGAATTCCTTATCAGATAATGAACGTCAAAATGTGGCGGCTTCAAGATGTTTTTCCATTATCGCAATATCCAACTGACTGGGAATTACTACTAGCTCATGAAGCTCTTATTATGCTGACAAAAATCCACTTCTTACGTTTTCTGCTAGGGTTGTTTAGGTTTTGGCCTAGTGGATTGTGGATCAATTTGATCTTTCAAGGTTCTGAAGAAGGCGACAGCCAAAACGTTAGCCACTACGATTATAGTAATATTCATGCTGTATTATTGACTATATTGTGGCACTAATTCACTAATATTCAATAAATAATATCACCAACCCTATGAACGACTTAACAGAAGAAACTACTCATAAACAAACTAATGAAATGGCGAAATCGCTAAAATCGACTGATTTCAAACCAGCAAATGTCCAAAGAACCGTAAAACGTTTTAAGGGTTAGTGAAGGGACAGAAAACTGTCCTCAAAAAGTCGTCCAATCGCTTTTTACGGGTGAGAAGATATTCACGATCGAAGTATTCCACAATCGCAGAATCAACGTCAACTTCCCAAAGATCAGCAGAGGCCCCGTGTAGAAAAAGCTATGGGCTGCACTCATTTCCCGCCCTCTGTAATGGTCTGGATTGACATTTGCGTCACCGGGAAGACAGCGTTGGTCTTTTTATCAACATAAATGTCAAAATCAGTGCTGCAGCTATCAGCAGCAAGTTTTACGGGGCGCACTGAAGCCTTGGAGTACTCAGCACTTTGGTACCGACGGATTTATAGCAAACCTCCCATGGCAGCTTTGCTAATCTTTTCTGGAATTACATGATAATTTAGGCAACGCTGATGGTCCATGACCTTAGAGAGCAAATGGCAACGCAGAGCTTCAAGGGCCTTAGACAGAAGGTGATCCAGCGGTCATCTTTCGTTACAGCAAAATGGGAAGGGGGCACCCAGATATCATCTGAGGACGTCGTTTGACCTCACCCGCACCACCTCACCTCAGATCGCTATCGGAGCCATTATTGCTCTCTTCACAAAAACTCGTCGTGTATCTAATTGCTATCATAAGACTGTGTTCATATAACTGTCGAATGAACTCGATAGAATTGTGAGCGGAACATGTCACTTCCGTGGAGGAGCGGACTCACTTAGGCTATGCTCGGCCTACCACCGCAGTTTAACGATTTAGCCCATATATAACCAATAGAGAC